ATTTGTGGTTTTAATGACCTGGTCATTTAATACATACATACACAGATACACACATAAATAAATATATATATATATATATATATATATGTACAGCTAGGCAGCTAGCGATTGGCATTGATCAGTCTTTTGACTATCATTTAATTGATTCAAAACTCAATTTTTGTTTTCTGAAATTTCGATATTATTATAGCCTTGTGAAGCATGTTTTAATTGATTGTGGAGCTTGCTCAACATTGAAGGAGACGTCTCTGACTCCATAGGACATACATATATATATATATATATATATATAAATATATCTATTCTTGATTAGCAGCAGTTGTCATCTTCGTCTGTCTGTCTGTCAGTTTCTATGCAAACTAGTCCCTCAATTTTGTAGCTTTTTTGATGCTACCTGCCACATATCTGTCTTGTTGCTACAGTGCGATCGGATCGAATATCTATATTATACAGATTGATAGAGGAACAATCGTTTGAAAGATACGTCCGTGTTTTACAAACTTTTTTGCGCATTTTGTGAATTTTTCGAATCAAACTTATGAAATATACCAATTATAATACTTGCCATCTATTTGAAACAACTTTATTGTTTGCCAAGTTATCCTAATCAAATTCACTTATCAAAATCGGATTTCTATATCACATAGCTCCACTAGAAAGTAACGATTGGTTTTTAAAATTAATCATGAAATAGATTAATAAACTAATTAAACAAATACATTATAAAAAGCAAATGTAGCCTTTATAAATACAGATCTAGAGAACAATCTTGAGTTTAATGCTGGCCAAAAAGATTAATCAAGTTTTAACTGCTCAAAGTCTGAAAGGACAGTTGACAATTTATTTTAGAGGGTCAGAATTGAATAATTCTGATTACTTTTAATCCGACTTTTGACCATAATATGAAGTATTCTATTTTAATATGTTGTTCCACGAGTTGAAATTGAGTTAGTTTTAATTTAAGTTCAAATATAATAGTTGAATGTTGTTCATTTATTGCTGTTAACACGTGATAACATAATAACAGCTCTGACTCTTAACTTGGTTAAGATATCTTGTCAACATTCATAAAAGAACGAATTTTGTGACCGATAGTTGCTATGTCAGATATATGATCCGGCTCTAAAATAAGTAATGATTCCAGCAAAAATGATTCAAATATAGCTAAAGCTTTTTAAGACAGTTTTTAAACTTAGAGATGCTGATTAAGAATTTAGATACGCTGCAGTATTTATACAATATAAAACCCTACTTAAGGATGCATTAATGGTACTTTAAAATGGTATTAAGTAATCTGTTTGATATGATATTCAATTGATATTAGTACTCCATATGATTCTGTTATATCAACTAATATCGGTCCACAAATTTAAATATATGTTTTGAAAAAAGAAAATGCTGAAAATATGAAACAATGGAAGAAAAAGAAAGCAATGGAATTAATAAATCTTTATATAGTTAAAGGCGATTAATTAAAATTGTGTAGCAGAAATCTAACGAGAGTTTTCCATTAATTGTGAGCATTGTGAAAGTTTAAATATAGATATATATATAGATATAAATATAGATTTTGCATTTAAATACGTCCAGAAATATTAAAAATATTCCATTTTTTTAAATATATATATATAATTATAAATTTTATCATACATTTAATTTAATTAAAAATTTTCTTACTTCTTGTATTTTTTGTGTCGATTGACATTAGTTCATATTAAATAAATAAATAACTATGGACATATATATAGATATATCTGTATTAATATTATATTAAATAAACAATAAAATATTAAATAAATAAATAAATGTAGACATAGATATAGATATATATCTGTACGTTAACTATTAAATGAGACTAGTAGCTCAGCGAGTCAATTGAAATTGTTATGACTTGCTAGGAAATCTAAATAATCGGTTTGAACATACACTGTGTGTGTGTGTGTGTGTGTGTCTGTGTGTGTGTGTGTGTCTGTGTGTGTGTTGCGGGTGTTTGAGTGCAATTTTGCATTTCTAATTACTTGTTCGAGCAGCTGTTGATGCTTACCTGTATCATTAAGAGTGTGTGTGTGTGTGTGTGTGTGTATGTATGTTGTTCTTATTGTTATTGTTGTTGTTGTTGTTATCTGGTTGTCTGTGCGCTTACACAAATGATTTATAAATGCTGATTTAATGCGTTAAAAGCCAAGCGCATTAAACTTGTTTGTCAGATGCGCCCAAAACACTCACAACACACATTCAGACGTGCATATGTGAATAAGTAAGACACTCATAAATACTCGCAAGAGTTGCCTGCTTAATTATTGTAATTGGAGTTTTTGGCTCAAACCACACTTGTTGTCATAAATTATTCAGGCAACGGCGAGTAGAATGCGCAGCATTCGACAAAAAGTTTGTGAATGAATTTTGAATGAATGCCAAACTTTATGGCACTCGTTGAACTTTAGCTGTGGCCAGTTATTCATTTTTTACACTCTCATCAAGTGAGTAAAAAATAGGCTTAAAGCTGTGCAAATATATGGAAAACATTACAAATTTAAACTTATGAATTATTCAAGAAAGGAATTTATAAGAAAATACTTTAAAGAGTAGCTTATTTTATATGTAAAACAAATCAAATTATACCTTAAAGGGAATTGACACTCGTGAGTCAATCGGGTTGAAAATTGCCCAGTTCTCGGATTATATATCGAAGTTTGATTATGTGCAGAAGTTCAACTTAGTCCATAGCTAATTTAGTATGCTATCTAGATTTGATCAAGTGTTGAATTTAAAATGTTTACAGTACTTAAATATTTATAAAACTTGCCTAATATTTGTTGACCATTACATATATCGTTGATATTTGATACGTTTCTGATATACACAGAAGTTATTTAGGAATTGATCACAATCAGTATTTACAGGGTATCTCTCGTAAACATGCCAAATGATGCAATATTTTATGGCCATTTGATTTCACATAAATCTTATAGTTTTCAGCGCCGTTAAACCAATTCGCACCTAATCCACCCTTAAAGCAGTACAGCTACAGCTATCTTGATATAGACTACCCTTGTTGTTGCCGTTTCGCAGCAGCCTTCGGCATATGCATTAGATAGATGTATGTCCTGGCCTGGGCAGGTCTGGGCAGGCCTTGGCTATCAGAGAGAGACACTTCAGTCTGTTGGCCTTTTGGGACTCGTTCCTTGAAAATTGCCAATTTTCGAAATCGGAAACTAGCAAAAAAGGAAAAAGAAAAGAAAGGAAAACAAGAAGAAAAATAGCAGCTACAACAACAACAATGCATATGAATTTCCAAACGGTTTTTATTGAGTATCGAACCCAAAGTTATCAGCCAGACCGTGAACCAAGAAGACCCGACAACCGGACACAGAAACAGAAACAGAAATTGCAACTCCGACGGCGACCCAATCCGTAATCTTTTATTTTCTTTGTCTTTTTTGGCATTTTTCATTTTAAAGACGCATCGCATCGCATCGCGTCGCGCCGCGTCACGCAGACAAAGCAAAGCGGTCATGAACAGCGGGGGGATTAGAACACAGGACCGGACCGGACCGGACCGGACTGGGCCACAACCGAAGACCGACCTTCACGCATTGCGTTGACCTTGTGACCCGAGCCAGCTAATGCCCCGGCCAGCTGATGGCCTCTCGTCACTCGTCAGCTGATTAGCATCAACTCTCGATTTACCCATTCAAAGGAATTCTCATTTTGTGTATTTTCTTTGATTCTCATATAAATAGGTCTTTATTATCGATTCGATTATCTCTGTTAATTATGGAATATACTTAAATGCTTAGGCCATAATGCAATTTTACTTATGTACACCTTAAACTTAGTTTCAAGTTAATCGTTTCTTAAATTTAGCTTAAGTATGTCTTCGCACTTAAAACTAGAATAGAACTAAATAGCTTTCATATCAAACAAGTAAGAGCGCTCGAGTCGAGTGAGCTCGACTGCAATATACCCTGAACCCAGTTGTTAAATATATTCTATTTCCCTTTAAAAGTCTTACACCAAAATGTGAGCAGGTGTGCAAATGAATAATCATACGCGCAATCATAACGGGTTAACGGGACTCTGCAGCATGCACATAGAAACACATGCCATCTCTTTCTCACACATGTGCTTGCTATAATAATCTATTTTCGACTATAACTTGGCTGTTTCTTATCCGATCTTGATGAAATTTGTGCAGTTGCTCAATAATATGCAGATGCAAATTGTGTATTAATTAGAACAAATTCTGACTTTAAAATTGTAGAATTTATTGCTATCGGAAATTTAAATGTATCGATATATAAGAAACAGAGGCAGTTATCGATAACAAATAGCAAACGTGATCTGCGCTGGGTATACGAGAACCTATAATCCAAATTTGAAGTCTCTAACTCTTATAGATCTGCGGACATGACTATATCGACTCGGACTGTTGACCCTGATCAAGAATATATATACTTTATGCCCATTTTTAATGGGGTTCAGGGTATAAAAAGAGCTCGTTTTTTGTTTTTTAAATTGTGTTTGATGCTGAAAAGCTTTAAAATGTTCCTTAAAAAGCTCCGTCTTTTGGTGGTGCGCAGCTTTGAGCTATCAAGAGAGCTTTAATAATAGCGCTGCAAGCTTTCAGTTGCTTTCAAAGCGTCGCTTTTGGGCATATTTTTGTTTTTCTTTTCGTTTTTTGGAATTAGCATCGGCTTTGCAAGTTGCAAGTTGCAATTTAATACTATATAAATTGTATGTATATACTGGTATATAGAACTTAACTTAATTGATTCTGAATCGCTGTATCTGGCTTATGAATATGGTATATATATATATATATATAAACTGTATTTATGAATATTTACAGCTAAACTGGTAATGCTTACAGACAAGGTAAAATAAAACAGACAACGTCAGGGTTTCTTTTAAGGATGCGTAAAACTAAAAACAAAAAGGGGAAAAAAAACTCTTTAAATATTAATTAGTGAGCTGAGTTGGTTGGTCGTGTGGGGTGGGTGGTGGTTGGTTGCTCTTCTTTTTGGTGGGTGGTGTTGGGTGGTGGTGGGTGCTCGAGGCAATTCACTTCACTTGCTCTTGGCCAGGGACATGACGTTGCTGGTGGCTGCCGCCTGTGGCCGGGGACTTGGCTGTCTTTTGGCCAAGGCCGGCGTCGCCGCTGGCGTCAGCTTAGCTGCGGCGGCATGTGGCGAGGTCTTTGGACTCGCCGCCGCCACGCCAGCAATTGCCTGACTGGCGGCCGTTGGCAGGGTGACGGTGGGCAGCATGGGCATGACCGACTTATTGTTGTGCTCATCACTGGAGCTGGCGACACTCTTCAGCTTCTGCAGATAATCGTTGAACACCTCGTTGCCGGCGCGCTGCATCCGCGACAGCTGCTCCATGAGATACGCCTGCTGATAGTTGTACATGGCGGGTCCAAAGTTGTACAACAGATTCGATTGATTCGCCGCCTGGGCGGCAACCTGTGCAGCCTGGGCCGCTTGGGCGGCCTGGGCACGTATCAGATTCTCCTTGAGAAAGTTGCTCAAATCCAGTTGATTCGTTGCCGAGGCAATGCCCAGCGGGGCATTCATGTTGGGCAAATGTGGATGCGGATGTGTTGCTGGTGGTGGCATCTTCAAACAGCTACTTGTTGCTGGCGGCGGCGTCGGTTGCTTCTTCTTTGCAGCGCCCCCCTTGGCCAGCGTGGGCGTGGCCGCGTTGCTGCCATTGCAAAGCGACAGTTTCGGATTAGCCGGATTCGGTGACTTTTTGCTGGCGGGCACCTTTTTGTTACTACTGTTGTTGTTGTTGCTGCTGTTGTTGTTGCTGTTGCTGTTGGCTGGCAAACTGTTGGCAAAATTGTAGCCAGGTGGCAGGGGCAAAACGTTGGGCAACTTGGGCGCCAGCTCAGCACCACCGACTGCATTCTGTCGTGGCAAAATCGGACGAAACTTTTTGGCAGCCGAGTCGCCATTGAGCGTTTGGTTGGAGCCGGAGCCAGAGCCAGTTGCTCCGCCTGACTGCGTTGCTTTCGGTGATTTATTCTCACCGGAATTGGGCGAATGGGCGCTACGCTTCTCGGGACTGGGCGTCTTCTTGTCCGACTGCTGCGGTGTCAGCACTGCTTTACCTGCACCCATTTTGGGTGAACTCTTCGGCGGCACCACTGCCGTGGGCGGATTGCTCGAGTTGGGCAGCTGCTGTGCGGGCGGCGTCATCCGCGCCAACAGATGCTGTGGCGATGGTATTGTTTTGCTCGGCGGCGCCGGCAACTTAACTGGCTGTGCTTTGACCGGCTCCTTCTCTGGCGGCGCAACGCTGGCTGGCGTTGCAGCAGCAGCTGTGGCTGCTGCTGCTGCTGCTGGCTGGTCGGGCAACTTGACAATTTCGATGTAGTTGTTGACGGGACTCTTGTGCTTGGCGTGCGCGGCATTGCTCGGCGAGGAGGCGTCGCCATTGTCACGCGATATGGTTATCGACAGCGACGAGGGTATGTTGATGTTGCACGAGTTGAGCAGCGATTTGACCTTCACCTGTTGCTTCTCGGGCGCATCCTCGCCGGCAGACGACACAGCAGCGGCAGCAGCCACAACAGCTGGATTCGTATTCTGATCCGCTTTGGTGGGCGGTGTGGGAAAAAGGCTGCCCAAACCGGAGGCGAGGCCAGAGTTGCTGCCATTTAGCATATTTTGCAAGTAGTTGCTGCTGCTGCTGCTGCTGCTGTTATTTGGGCCTGTTGTTGCTGCTGTGGTTGTTGTTGTTGCTGCTGTTGTTGTCGTTGTGGGCTTGGGCGTGTATTTGTAGGTGGGCATGGTGGGTATATTATAGTTGGGCACATATTGTGGCGAGCTGGGCGAATAGATGGGCGAATTGGGCGTGTACATGGGCGTGCGGCAGCCCGGTGGCGCCTCCTTCCCCTTCGATTTGCTCGCATTGAACAAGGCCAAATTTAAATAGTTGTTTGACTTGCTGCTGCTGCCGTTGTTGTTGCTGGAGTTTGAGCTGTTGCTGTTGTGGTTGCTGTTGGATTTGTTGACTGGCACTGGTGGTGGTCCCATTTTGAGCTCCTGGCTCTTGGGCCCATACACATGTGGCTTGGCCTGGCTGGCAATGGACTTGATTTCGGTGCCGGCATCCTTCAGCAGACGATTGACATCGCTGGGTATGTTGGCAAAGGGATTGGGACGCGACGCCTTCGGCAATATGGGCTGGTATCGCTTGGCAATCGGCGTACGATTGCCGGGCGCAGCCATCTGCATGCCCTGGTGGTGTGGCGGTGCGTGGAAGGGTAGCGTTGCTGCTGCCAATTGTGTTGCTCCACTGGCAATGCTGCTGTTGCTGTTGCTGCTGGCTGGGGTTGATTTGTGGCGTGCCACTGCAATTGGTGCCTTGGCGGTTGGCGGTGGCATCAGCGGTTTATCAGCGTTTGCAGCAGCGGGCGGCGGGGGCAGAGTGTTGAGCGTCGTGTTGGCAGCGGGCAACCGAATCTTGAAGTCCTCGCGTGGCAGTGGTGGCGACAGCTTGGGCTTCTTGGAGATGGCCTTGATGGGCTCCTTGCTCTTGCGCTTCGACGAGGCAATCGATTTGGGCGCCATGGCGCTGGGCGGCTTCATCAGCAGACTGTCATCCAGATGTGCCTTGCACTTAAGCGTGGACATGTTAAAACACTGATTGGTCTGACCATTGATCCGCTCGGGCGACTCCACCTTGACTTTGATGGGCGTCAGTGCAAAGGATTTGAGGAACTCCGACTTGGGATCCTCGTGGCAGGCGCCGCTTGTGATGCGTGGACTGAGCACAGTGCTCACACCGTTGGGACTAAGGATGCGCTCCGTGCGTATCGTCAACGGTGGCACCGTCAACGGCGATGGACTCTTGCGCTTCCGCTCGCTACTGCTGCTGCTGGAGGAGGATTTTGGACTACCATCCTTGTCCTTTTTGCTCTTGGAGCGTGACTCCTTCTCCGGTTTGAGTGGCTTGACAATCTCCTTGCGATCCGGATCGGACATGTTGATGATTGTGACGCTGTTCTGCTTGGACAGATCGATCTTCAGCTTAATGTTCGGCTCCTCCTTGTTGTAGGTGGGCGTGGTGGGCGAGGGCAGATTCTTGTTGGTGCTGGACTTGGGCGAATGATGATACTTCTCTTGTGGCGTCTTCTCGCGCTTCTCCACCACCTGCCGATTGATGACCAGCTTCAGCGGCTGCTCCATGGGCGAGTTCAGCTTGGGCACAATGCGAAACTCATCCTGGGTCTGCTCCACTTTAATGCGAGCCGGCTGCACAGCGCTTGCTGGGGTTGGGGGTGAGGGCGTGGCTCTCTTGACAACCACCAGTGATGGCGTGGTCGTGGGCGGATGAGCCGTAGCCGGAGCAGGAGGAGAAGGAGATGGAGTGGAGGCTGGCTGGACTGTAAGCGGTTCCAGTTTCAGTGGCGCCAACACTTGTGCCTTGATGGCGGGCGGAGCAGGTTTGATCAGTGGCTGTGGCGATTCGTAGACACGGAAATAGAAACGCATCGGCGCATCCCGTTTCCACGTATAGATGTAGGCAATGTCCATCAGCGTGTAGTAGTCCAGCAGCACAATCGTCTTCACCTTGTACATGATGTCGATGCTGAAGCGATTCGCATCGATCTCGAACTTGTCGTAGACGAACTTCTTCAAGTGACTCACCCGGCACATTGCCGGGCACTGCAGATACCGGGGACGCAGTGTATCACCAAATTCCATCTCTGATTCCGCATTCAACTCGCTAAAAAGGGGAGGAGAAAGTCAAAAAAGAGAAGCGTCTTGATTAGATTTTGAAAGTGCAAAAATAGATAAAAGATTCCTCAATATATTTTTGTATCTATTACTAGATAAGTGAATCATATCTCTAGATTTATGTCACTCTAGTAAAAATAAGTTAATCACATTTTAAGATATCGAATCTGTTATCGAAACTAAGTCTGTTATTTTTATGTTAATTAGAAATGCTAAATCATATCTCAAGATTAAAGTTAGTTAGTCAAAGTCTGTTCTTTTCTTAAGGAATTGCTAATTTAATTTAATTTTATTCTTATCCTTTTTTTCTATTCTTTCTTTTCTTTAATTCTAATTTCTTTCTTTCCAGTTAAAAGACATGGAAAACAAATCGATTTTTATCGATTATTGCCTATCAAAGAGGAGCAAGTATGCATTAATTGAGACTTACCCAAGTTCGGCATACTCTAGCGACAGAGACATATCATCGGAGGGACTGAAAATCAGATGTTCAGTGTCATCGCCTCGCTGTTCGGGCGTTGCCAGTGCCGCCTCCTGTGGCCGATCCTTGTAGAAGCCGCGCTTACGCATCAGCTCCCGTTCATAGAGACCGGGCACGAGCTTGTAGACAATTGCCTGCAATGTGGTATCAGATCTGCAACGAGAGAATTATGGTGGTTAGTTGAGGTGTTGCTTCAAAAGGGGCGACATGTCTCTGTGTGTGTGTGCCTGTTGTGTGTGCTCAGTGAAATGTAAAATACGTAAAGACTAAGAGCAGAGGCAGCAGACAAGGGAAGTAGCTGAGCTGCAGGCTGCAAGATCAGACAAGACTTGGTTGCAGTCTTATCTACAAGTTGTCCTCGCAGTCTTTGTGTGTTTCTCTGCCTGCAGATGATGTTAGTTGTTAGTTGTAGCTGGTCTGCTTGATTGGACGCAGTTGTTGCTGCTGCTATCACAATTGTGATTGTTGGCATGCCGAATAATCAGTATGCGATTCTACGTGCAACAGAAGCTGACCTGGAGGAGCAGGAGCAGACACAGGTTGAAGCGAATCACTGCCAGACCAGACTGGCTTTCGCTTTGCTCAAAGCGTATATTGAGTTTCTCAAATAGATTTAAAGTGTTTCTCGTTACAAGCGGGAAAACCAAGAGGAAAATAAAAGTCAGCAGCGCAGCGACTTCCTCTGCGGCGCTAAAAGGAAATGAGCGCATGACAATCCACAAAAGACGCACCGAAAGAGAGAGAGAGGGAAGGAGAGGGACAGGTAGAGGGAGGGAGTGAGAGCGAGCGAGAAAAGTACAAATTAGATGGCAGATGCAATTGCTTCAATGGCACGCAACAAACGCCGCCAAAAAATAAAAAAAAAATCGAGGGTCTGAGGCAAAGACAGTGACTGTGGCAGGGGCAGGGCAGTAGCAGTGGCAAGCAGCTGTGTGGCATGCGCTAAGCTATTAGATGGTGCCACGCAACAGTGGTTGTTGTTGTTGCTGTTGTTGCTGTTATTGGTGGTGGCTGGCTGGCTGGCTGACTGAGTGACTGACTGACTGACTGAGTGGCGCACAGGAACTCGTCGCATTAAGTCGCATTTCATAGAAAATTGTGTTGCAGGCGCTCGCCTTCAATCAAACGGAGCTTGTCAAAGGAATTGAACAATTGTATAGCCAAAGAACAAGAACAAGAAAAGACTAGAGTAGAAAGAGAGAGGGAGAGAGAGAGGGAGAGCGAGAGGGTACTAGTTGTAGTCGTGGTAGTTGAGAGGGTCGCAAAAATCGCAGCTAGGTAAGAAGATCATTTACATGCCAGCAGAGATAAACAAAAGGATACAAAAAAGAAACCCAGGAATTTTGCAAAAGAAAAAGACAGACAAATCAAAGGAGATTTTATATATCTGATATAGCTTTAAGTAGATTGCGACATTAAAGTCAATCACTTAACCAAGACTAAGAAGACACCAAACTCGTATTTTCAATTGGGTCTTTAGAAAATGATTATTTATTATAATTAACAGCCCAACTTAACTATTAACTATCAACTATTCACTTTAGAATTCTAAAAAACACAAAGAAAATGCTACAAATTGAGCTTAACTTAAGATTAAGATTTCATTCAAGGATTGGAAGAATGACACCCACTCATCAGTACAGGGTACAGTTTCCAGGTATTCCACTGACCGAGTCAGGCAACAATAGCAACTGCTACTCTTTGGGGTTAGCCACATAAATGTCGTAAATGTTCGTTGGTGGAATTGAAGTTCGACAAGAGTATTGAAATTCTAGCCCAACCAACCAACTCAACTCAATCAACTCAACTGTAAACTTTACAAGAATATATTTGTGTTTATGGAGGAGAGCAGAGCAGAGTAGACCAGAGTAGAGCATAGTCGAGCACCGCAGAACTTTCGCTGTGGTAATTGTGGTTGGGGGGTTGGTTGGGCTCCCCCGTTGGACAACTTGGGCAACATTTTGAGGGGGGAATGTTGCTGGTTGGTTGTAGGATGATGCGCACCTTGAATGGAACTTTGATGCTGTCGAACAAGTTGACGCTGCTTAACTTTATTTGATGCCTGCCAAACGTTCGACGGGAGGAGGGAGTGGGGACTCTAATTGGGAGTTGGCCAGCTCTGTTTGGTATTGCCACTAAATGTGTTGCTGTCTGTTTTGACGACTCTGGCCACGGCACGTTTGTAATGAAAAACACGTTCCCAGCATCGAATCAATTTAAGGGCACAGCTTTAATAAATGCCAAGCGAGTACATCGAGCAGCAGCAGCAGCAGCAACCACCCGCAGCCAGAGTTGCCACCCCCCAGGCAGACGACCCAACGTCTCTCCCTCTCTCTCTCTCTCTCGTGCAATACCTTGTGGTTGCTGCTGCTGCTGCTGCTGATGATGATGATACTGAGCCGAGTCAGGTTGTAATCTTGTCGACTGCATACAAAAAGATAATGAATACAAACGCCACAGATAGCAGCAGCAGCAGCGGCAGCAGCAGCATGGGGGCAAAAGGGGTTGTTGTTGTACTGCCTATGAATGAATAGGTTGAAGTTGGCCAAACAACAAATGGTGTGAAGTCAGCATAACTACTACACAGACTACATATATATATATATATATATAGATAGACGTATCTTCTATATAAAAGCGCAGACAGCCCAAGTGGTTTTTGTACGTGGTCTCTTCTCGACTCTCCAATTAAATTTATTGCAAAAGTTTATTGTTTAAGCCAAAGACAACAAATAGAAAAAACGTGGTCAAGTAAAGCAAAACACAAAAGAGAAGCGCCAGTTTATTTATTCCCTCTTCTTTTTCATTACTTATTTTCTTATTTTGGCAAAAGGTAAACAAAACCAAAAAAGAAAGAACTGAAAACAAATAATGCTACTCAACTCAAAACTGAAAACTTGCCTTGATTCTTATTTTTTTTGTATTTATTTTTTGTGGTTGTGTCTTGTCGCCATGTGCGGCCATGTTTTTATTGTTATGTGCCGCCCCCGCCCGAAAGCAAAAAAAAAATAATATAATAATAAAATTAAAACAACAACTGCCCAACTGATAAAGTGCAAGCGCAAAAAACAACGAAAAGAAAAAGAAGGAAACAAAACGGGACAACGCATTTCCAAGAAACCCGAAAAGCAAATCGAAAAACGCCAGAGATAATTAACGGGCGGGTCTTGCGCTCACAGTTCTGCCGACGGCAACTGAGGAGCGCTGCAAAACGCGACCAGCGGCAGCAGCAGCAGCAGCTGTAAACAGTTCACAAAAGCCAAAGGCAACCAGAGACGAACAGAACAGAGTTGGGCAGAATACAGTTACCCCTTCTCCCTCTTCTCTTTCTACATCTCCAACAACTCTGCTTCTTTTCTTTTTTTTGGGCACCGAAATTTAAGCGAAAGACAAAGGCGCAGATATGGGCGTGCGGGGGGGTTGGAGGAAAAGAAACAAGACAAAAAGCAGCGCAAAAGTTATTCCGTGTTTTGCCAAGTTTTAATTTTAAATAGCTGCTGAGCAGGCAGATTCCCGATTGCCAATTTTCGAAAGACGTTTCTCGTTATTTATCAATTGGTTAACTTGTTGTCTTGTCAAATAAAGTGATTCGAAATAACCTTTAGATATTTGTATAGCCAAAGGTTTAAAACAAATTGAATGGCATTGAATGGACAGTGAAAAGCCATAAAGTCTAGCCCCATTAATCATGTTAAAGAACTTTCCAACAAGAAATGTGAAAGGAATTTTATCTTTTTCGGTTTGTTGTTCTTGTTGAAATTATCAACTTAGATGATAAGCTGTTGCTAACTTGGAATTGTTGCAAGGGAAACAGTTAATCGAAGTTAATAATTAATTTAATTTAAGTTAACGGAAAAATTGAAAAGAAAATCTCCTATTATCATTATTACAAATGGGAGTACCTGACCTGTACTACGACCTATTAGATCTATTTTGTCCCGGTTATCTTCTACATAAGCTTGGTATTTTAAATATGGACTTCAGAAATATTATAAATAAATAAAGTTCCTTACCAAGTGGCATTTCATATTAAATTCCAATTAAATGGAATATTAAAGTAAACAGCTCTGATTTCTTGGGAAACTCAAACAAAGAACAAGCAGCAAAACCCCCAAAAAGGAAACTTTTTGCATTGTTGCCACCCACTCTGAGAAATGTGAAGTAGTCAAAAAGTAGAAGATTCCACTGTGTCTAATATCAACTAATTGTAGTTGTCAGCAACAGTCGTCGCTATATATATATATAAGATAGATATAGCATAGCATATATTTGGATGTAGTTTTGTACTTACTTGATGTTGGGCTTGGCATTGTTGATGACCATCTCACAGCGTGGACAATAGCGCTCCTTGCGCAGGTGATTGATGAGGCAATTGTGGCAGACTGCAGCCAACCAACCGAGAGAGACACACACACAGCAGCCAAGGAGAGATGGGCGCGAGAACAAGAAGAGATGAAGAAGAAAACAGTTACAAATTGTGTTACACAAGCAAAAATATATAGTTAAATTATTGCGTTGGGGGACATTGAAAAATACTAGAGATTTGGGGGTCTACTGAAATTATACAAATTTATGTTAAACCTGAACATACAAAAAAAAAATAAAGAAATAATTCCCTTGCGTAAGCGCACCACAATCCCAGGCACAGCACACAACTGTTCCGTCCCGGACACATTCGTACAACTCAGGCTTATCCCTCACCTCCCTGCCACTCCACTCAAAATGGGGATACAATATGAAAAAGAAGAGAGGACAAAAAAAAATTGGGAAGGAAAGGCAACACAATCCAGCCATTCAATTTGAACGTGCCACCCACGGAACCCAGAAAATGCCCCAAAAAAAAGGAAATGCAGAAAAAAAAGTAGAAACAAAGGCGTTGCATTTGACAAAAACCGACTGCGACATACTCTGTTCAAAGTGTAATAACTGTGCGCCAATTGATTGATTATTATTGTGAATATAAACCGACTTTTAGATACTCTGTATTCCCAGTGCACTCAGAACTGTTGAACTACGAAATACTATTTTAATAATAAATTTTAAAATTTATAATTCATTCTTCAGCCATTCTAATTTTTGTTAATTAAGCCGAATCTTATTGTAAATTTGTACTTTTTGTAGTATTTTTGCCATTAACAATTTTTGTAATAAATGCCTTGATATTTTTTTTGGGAATAGATTCTATTTTTTAAGCTTAGTCTATCAGGAAAATACTACAAACAAACAATACAGAATAATACTATTTAAACTAGAACTTCAACTGATGCGTGAAAGGCATTACAATTTTAGATCGTAGTTGCAGTTGAGGAATGTCAGTGCTCAAAACCAATATACCCCATGTATGCACTTGGCAACAGAGTATCAAAGAAAGAAAAAGAGAGAGAAAAAAGTGTGTTTTGACTTTAATGTCAATGGCAGTGTGTCTGATGCTGCTGCTGCTGCTGCTGCTGATGCTGTCCGTCGTTTGTGCCACAGCGCAACAACTGTCAACCAGCGACAGGAACAGTGAGACGACAGCGAGACTGAGACCAAAACCGAGACTGAGACTGGACCCGGCCTGGCTGCAACAACCAGACAGCCAGACAGACAGCCAGACAGACATGGGGGAAACACAGGCTCTGGCCTATGGGGGGAGTGGCAAGGGAAACACATTCGGTTCGCCTGTTACGCTTGTCTGTCAGAGTTCTGGATACGAGATACAAAAAAAAAAAAAGAACTGATGTTTTGCCTGGATGGGGTGGGCGGGGAAGGACTGATGTTGTTGTTGTTGTTTCTCTTCTTTTTTTTTTTTGGGTGGTTTGGGTGGTACTGCTGCGAATTTGTTGGCCAAATGGCCTCGAGCAACAGCACAACTGCAAAATGCAACAAAGTCGAAACAAGGGCAAACAGCCAACAAAAACAAAAACAACAACAACAACGAGAACAGCTGTTGTTGCTGGCATCCCATTTAGTGAGCCAACGAGCCAACGAGTGGCAAACAACAACGACAACAAGCTGACATGGTTGGTGGCAACGCCAGATATATGCAAGAAGCGAGCCTGGCAACAGATTTAAATGAGCCTCGGGTGCTCAAATGAAATGCCATCGACACATTTGGTTTGTCTGACAGATTTACTGCCAGCCCGCCAACTGAATGATGAGGCGGAAAACTGCATTTGAAAAACGAACTGCAGTCGAGTTAGTGGCCACATCGAGCTGTGATTAGAATGTCACAACCGCAATTGTTCCGAGAGAGAGAGAGAGAGTCTCTCGCTGAGCCTAAATGCAGCTCTAATTTGTGAATATTCGACTGAACTTTGACAAACACATTTAAGCCAACTAAAAATGTTTGTTCGAATGTTGCAATGTTGCCAAGGGACAAACACACTCATATTGAGCAGCCAACTCGAGTTTGGGAAACGAAAGAAATGAAATGAAATGAAACGAAACAAGAAGCGAACCGGAAATTGAAGCAACGAAATTTGAAGACTAACTAAACGTTTTTCTTCGCGCTGTCTGGTTTTACGGCTGCACTAAACCCCAAACCCCGACGGAGAGAGACGGGGTGGAGAGTGGGTGAGTCTAGCGACAGTTGCCACTTGAAAGTTGTGTCTGATTTATGGTTCAGTAGTTATTAAGCCTGAGCAGCAGCAGCAGCAGTAGCAGCAGCAGTATCCTCTTGCAACCAAAAACGCCAACCAGAAGAGAGAACCATTTGTAATTATTTAGACAGACATATGCACCAAGCACACACACATCACACACACACACTCATACACACACACTCATACACACACACACATAAATACACAAGTACAAACACATATATTTAACTCCTCTTTCTAAAATGAGTTTTCAGCATTAGTCAAGTCAAGTAGTACTTGGGGCTATATAGTCATAGGCATCGGCATAAGGCATAAGGCATATGCAAAATGCAGAATAGCCAGATAAAGCAGAAGAAGAAGGCTCATTAATGTTGTTCGCCCATTAACTTATCGCTTGGCAGCATCAGACACGGCTGGAGTGAGGGCAATTTTGGGGGTGGGGTTGCTTTTGGCAGTTTACTAATTAGTCTATGCGCCTAACCACAAGTGCTGACTACACTCGCAAAAAAAATGTGTGTGTGTGCTGTAGAATTTAGAAAAGTTCAACTTGTTATTTCGATAATCGATACAAACTGCACTTCGAAAAGTGCTCCAAGAAACATACTTTAACTTTTGAATAGTTTGTATTATTTTGGGCAAGCTGAAATACTACTTTGTATATTAAAAAAAAAAACTTTCAATCTTTTGACAATGGCATATTTTTAAAACGCTGTTCGATTTATGCAATTTTTCTTTAAATTGGAAATTACACATTAGAAATTGCCTTTCAATTAAAAAAAAGGAATATTCTCTGAAAATATTTGTGTGAAAAGCTTGCGTTTTCTTAAATAGAAATTGCACTGGATCGATTTAAATAAATAAATAAATATTTTTCTTGACTTTAGGCTCGATTTTCGAAATACCAAATTGCGCTTCGAGTGAAAATGGGAAAAAGGTGTTTGGGTATTGGTGGTGGCAACTTACACGAGTGCAAACACTCCACGATGGTCGTCGCGTTGATCAGATAGCCCTGGCACAAGTGGCAGATTATGTGCGGATTGACGGCAGTTAGAAGAACGGGGCGTGGCGTTGTCATCATCATTGACAACGTTGTTGCTGTTGTTGTTGTTGGCGTCTCGACAGCATCGGTTGTTGGCTCCTCATCGGCGGAGGCGCCGCCGTTGCTGCTGGCATCCTCGATGTTGGACCAGGCGGATGATGATGATGATGAGGACGATGATGAGCATGACGAGGCAAATGATGAACTGTTGTTGCCGGCATCAACAACTGTTGTTGTCGTTGCTGTTGTTGCAACTACTGCTGGTGCTGCTGCTGCTGCTGGCGGTGTTGATTCTTTTTTAATATTGTTATTATTATTGTTGTTGTTGTTGCTCCTACTGCTGTTGTTGTTGTTGTTGTTGCTGCTGTTATTGCACTCAAGCAATGCTTTTGTTGTTGCTGTTGTGCTTTGTGCAAATGCATTAGTTGCAGTTGCAGCTGTTGTTGTTGTTGTTGGGTTTTCACTTTTTATTTTGATGCTCTTCGCAGCAAAGTTTTGTTGTTGCTGTTGTTGTTTTTGCATTTGCATTTTCTCAACACTGGCGTGTTTTTTGCTGCTGTTGTTGTTGTTGCTATTAGTGTTGTTATTGTTGTTGTTGTTGCTGTTGTTGTGCACATTGCTGACAAAGCTTTTGCCCGTCGTCGTCGTCGTCGTTGTCTTTGTCGCTTTGCTCGCAATTGCCAGTGTTGACAAATGCAGCGACGACGACGTCGACGGCGACGCGGCTGCAGCCTTTTGTATTGCATGAGCCATTGTTGTTGTTTTTGCTGATGTTGCTGCTGTTGCCTTCGACTCCGGCGTCATCATAATAACAATAATAATACTAGCAACAGTCGCGCTATATTCGACGCCTTTGTTTCTGCAAAAAAGTAGAGAAAAATAATGGAAATTTAATATGCAGCCAAACGACAAATGCAAATATGGACAAACACACACAGATCCAGCTATATATATGTATATATATATATACATATGTTGCCTGAGAGCAGGGATTGGAGATATTCAAAGAGTGCTGGGCAAATAATACAAGCAAAATAGATAATATGGCATTGCTAGATATTAAATCTACAGACTGATCAATTGTAAAATATATAATGCTCAATAATTGGAAGCGTACGAGAAATATACTCAATCATTAATCTCAAGATTATTTTCTATAAAAATCTTCCAATCTCAGATGTCTATTAATACAAAGAGTTCAATAAACAAGCATCGCATTCATCTCAATTCAATCTGGTAACTACTGTAATATTTGATGACTGGCTATATATAAACTATATTCCCCAACTACGATCGATATTTAATTAATTCTTAAATTCAATTTGTAAACACAATAAACCACTTGAAAATAAAAAGTATTCCCCTCAAACTCAAAAACACATCTTCAATTTGCACTCAAAGAACTCTGAGGGGAAAAACACACAAACAAACAACAAAATTCCAAGTAAAGTCTTTGGCCTGAAACTGAGAGCTAAACAGCTGTTTTTTCTCCCTTGAATCCATAAAATTGTATTATAATCTTAAGAAAATAGTGTTGTTAATCAAACTTATAAGCAACTTGGAGCTGGCTGAGCTGTAAACAGTAAAGTTCATCTTAAATTCATAACTGACCCTCGTCGCCGCATTGTTTGTCCGAGTGAATCGAGTAATTGAAATTCAAAGCTGGCCAAAAGCTGTTGTTGCAGCGCTCCCTTTTGGCCAGGACAACGCATGGGGCAAACATTGTTGGGAACTGCTATTATATGCAATCAGTCGATGGCTAATGGATGCCTGGCTGCCCCCTATCAGTCCCCACATATATATATATATATATGTGTTGCATATATGGTTGCCATGGGAATGTTAACGACTGCCAGCGAGAGGCCCTGTATGGAATGCAAAGGGCACTCAAGGGCGGAGCTGGGGGAAATTGGGGAGTTGAGGGGCTTGTGGATGTTGGGCATGTTGCTGTCTGTTTAACAGGCAGATAAGTTGGGCTTGTGCACGGCTTAAATGGAGCTCGCACAAAATGCGAGTGCGAAATGGAATGTATTTGAAAACAATTCAAGTTGTTTTTGCATCAACGCGCGCCAGTAAAAAGTCGGACGCAAAAACTTTTTAACACAAAACTTTTTAGACCAACCAACAACAACAACGAAAAGGAACTTACTAACTCACACACACACACACACACACACTTGCAAATAAAGGGGCGCGCAGCAGCTAAATGGGGAAATATGAATGAATATGAAATGTATTCAGGGTCGAATACGAACGAACGTTGGCTGCCGCTTTAAAATCCTTTTTACGTAAAATTTAAGTGTGTACACACTCACACTCACACACACAGACACACTCACACACGCAGACGCATATAGCGTGTACCCAAGTTGAACCCTTTCCCGAAAAAAAGGAGACCCAACAACTGCGTCAGGCAGCGAAGAACGCGCGCGCAAAAAAAAAGTGAGTACGAAACATGAAAAGGATAATAAAAATAAAAAAATAATAAAATACATATATATATAAAGCAAGCAGAGGAATTTCACGTGAATAAACGCTGAAAGCAGAGAACGTGCGGCATGCGCGACTGCAAAAGTGCGCTACGCATCAAAAGGCAGCGCATCCAGAATGCAATACAGCCAGCTGTAGGGTGACTGCGCGGCGACAGCGACCCAGGCTTTATCTGCTGTATTAAAAAAAAAACAACACACAAACATACAGACACGAACTACTTTCCCATTGAGTAAAAGCAGTGCACAAAATAAGTAAGCAGCACTTTCAAATGATGACTATGTATTTTACAAAGGAATATATGTATGTATATGTATATATTTATATATATATATTTCCCTCTCCCACACACACACACACACATACAAACACATGTGCGAGCAAAGCCAATCGCAATGTACATTATACAATGGGGAGACAGACAGGACAGAAAAAGCTGTTGCTGCTACTGTTTTTGTTCTGCTTCTTGTTTGTGTTGCTGCTGGCAGAGAGGCTGTGTGTGGAGAACAGAGGAGGAGACAAGCAGGCAAGCAACTGTTGTTTCGCATGGAGTGAAAGAGTGAGTGTGCGTGTGGAGAGATTTGTGTTTTTGGGGGGCCGTAGCAAGCAGCAGCAGAGCGCAACAGCTGTGCGCTGACAGGCCGGCAGTATTGTAAAATGACACAAGCCCTGCGGCGGAGAGAGAGAGAGAGCGCAAACATGCAAGCATGCACAACACTAACTAAATGCAATTGCAAATCTTTCGATGGCTGTTGATGTGTTCTTCTTACCTGTTTTTAGTTTTGACTGCTAATCCAGTTGAATGGGAGACATTTTGTGTTGTTGTTGCTGCAATTAATGTACGTAATCCAAAACGCGTTGCAGTGTTGCTGCTGCTGTTGTTGCTGTTGTAATAATCCAAAGTGCAGTTATTGGCACATTTCCACGCACACTTTCACAATTCCAACAAATATACACACACACTTATGCATAAATATATATATTCTTCGCGCTGGTTTTAATTAGATTTTCAACAATTTTTCATGTGCCTTTCTTTCTTCAGCTTCAGTCAGCTTCAGCTGTTTGCGTTTCTACGTTTTATTGCTTGCTTTACACTTTACTCCTCTACTTCGCCGCTGCTTCGGATATTTCTCAACACACAAACACACACATACACACACACAGATAGCATAGAAACTCGAGCGCTGCTGCGGCTGTCACTTTGGGTTATTTGCTTTCGTGAGCACCTTTATTGTGTATTATGCTTTGCCTTATGTTTTCTGCATGCACGAACACACGCACACACACACATACGCATACAGCACAAACGCTGCTGACGCGCGCGCAGCAATGTTGACTGCGACTGCGATGCGACGTTTACATAGACGTTTGGTGTATATAAAGCGCAAGCTGCTTGCGTTGCTGTTGTTGCCGTTGTTATTGTTGTTTCGGCATTTGTCACACGAGACAAAGGAATTTTCTAGCACTGGCAACACACTTAATATTTAGTTGCTTTCGCTTGATAATTTAAAATAATTAAATATTTTTTATGCGCATATCAATTTATTTATTGTTATTTTATTACACTTAATCTGTGTAATTGTGTTTTTAGTTGATTCACTTTAAAATGTGGCAGCGAAAATGCGCACACGTCCGTTCGACTCAATGTTTGGCGTTCAACTGACGCTGCGGCGCTGCTAACGTTGTGTTATTTACTCGCGCACTCGCATACAAACACGCACGCATACACACACACACACATATGCAACGCCTATTTACATTTACGGCGGCCAACTGCCTGCCCTCTGCTGCCAGTTTTTCGTTTTCCTTTTTGACTACTGTGCGCTCAGTGGCTGACACAATGCTATCTCGCTCACACACTAACTCTCACTGGGCGTGCAACTGCTGCGCACTCGCTCTCGCTTACACTTAAGCACTCCGTTCTCGATATGCGGTCGTCGTCGTTGTTGTCGGATTTTATTTACGTTGGTCTCTTTTGTTTCTCTCAGTCAGTCAGCACAGCGACGGCTTTTATTTCCCATTCGTTGCTTGCGACCGAGTAACGAACCGTCCACGTTCGAAGTTGGCTTTGCACTGAACTGTGTATATAATAGCTGGCGACGTCTGGCGTTGCTGTTGCTGTTGCCGTTGCCTTTTGCCTCTTCTGCTGCGCCTGCTGTTTCTTTGTTTCTTCGACTCGCTGCTGCCGCTCCACTCGTTTGTGTGAAAGGAAAGGGCTGTCGGCTGTCTCATTGTCGACGACTGAAACGCGTACATGGCTTATGCTTATATACAAAGCGCTCTATGTACGCAGAAGGAGTGTGTACACACACATTTCATATGAGAACGTACACATATATTACATGTGCAGATGTACATAACAGTTAAACGTGCTTTGCGAGGGGTGCCCTTCGGCGACGAGTGTGTGCACAGTATATAAGTAAACCTATTTGCTTTGATCTCTCTGCTCAAGGTACGGATGTGCTCACACACACTTAAGTATGTAATTATACACATGTATGTATGTATTATATCTTTGTATCATACGATACTATATGTATCTAAGTACGTGTATATGAATGATTTCCATTAGCCTTTTGAAAAAGTGTGCACACATTTCCGAATGTGCCTATAAACATTTCTTATATACTTTTATAGCCGCACTGTATGTATTGTGAGGGTAGGTAGTTGTATTTATATTCAGCTGTATGTACTTATGTATATAAATAACTGAGTGTTTTTTTTTTTTGCGGTAACCATTGGCTTCAAGCAACGGTGCTGCTTTTCCAGTATTA